ATAGTTATACTACACACACACACACACACACACACACACACACACACACACACACACACACATACAAATTTTTGAAAAAGTTGATTGTTGAGAGCAAAATTAAAATTCTTAAATTCTTAAATTCTTAAATTTTTATAATTATTTTCTTTAACTTTTAGAAATCTTAAAAATGTTTAAACCGCTTGGAATTGATAAAGTTTTTAAAATTTTACAATTTTGAAGGTTTTTTTTTTTTTATTAATATTGTAATGTTTCTAAAAATTTTAATATCCTTATGTAGATATTATTACATAACTATTACATAAAGTGTACATATGTATGTGTGTACACATATTATATATCATATACTGACCGGTATGATTTTTGAGCAAACTAGCATTTGCTTCTGGACCGTACGTCATCAATGCTCCTATTATCGCGATTAGGATGATCTCGAGGAGAAACAGCATCAACACTTGTTGCTTCTCGGTGACCGAAGAAAACATTATCTGCAAAAACGGAAAGATTTGGACTTGGATATCGTGAAAACAATTACATTTTTTCCGCGATTAAATTATTAATTTGTCATCAATTCCTTCTGTTGTATTTTATTTTGGGATGATAAATTTTTCAGACGAGGAGTATGTAATGACCAAATGATAATTACTTTAATAAATTTTCTTTTAAATTTTTATTTAAACAAATAAACAATACACTTTTGGGAAGTTTAATATTTTATAATTGTAAATATTTACCTACCACCGCACTTCTTTAAAGAGGCAAGGATTACAACAAACTTAAATATACCGTTACATAAATATAATTAAGAATTAATCTTAAATAAGCCTAAAATAAGTATTTGTTTAAAACACATACGCATATGTAAATATGTAAAGTTGTAATTCTTAAGGTCTATGAACGAATAAACACTTATAAACAGTAACTTGCATATCTATCAATACAATACCTTTCCCATTGTAAATCGATAATTCAGTTTAATCAAACTGCCAGACGTCTGTCACACTGACAATTTTCACTGCCTCACACATTCACTGAAAGAATATATTTTATTGCTTATTTTTGCAAACTGATTTACGTGCTCGTTGAATTTTATTTAAGAAAACGCGGAAAATGATATAAATCTTAATTTATTTCTATTTATATATTATCTTCGTATTTAACTAAAGTTTTTTACAAAAAATTAAATTTAATCAAATTGTTTTTTTTTTTTTTTTTTTTTTCAAAACTAAGATGTGATTAATTAATAAAGCCATTTATTTAAAATCTCATATATTACTTTTTTTTATAAATTGGATAAATTTGTTCTATAAATTACAGTGAATACAAGATGTATAACATTTCGTAAAAATTAGTTAAATTCAGATAGTAGTCTGATAAGAGACAAAAGCTGAACGGTGAAAATAGTTTTATTGAATAATTGAACATTAGCTCAACTGGATGTAAAATATGCTTATCCTTTATGATGAACACGATTCAATAATAACACTGTATATCAAATTCGATTTCTCACCGACCTCGACCAGTCTTTAAATCACCCCACGGATCACACACGTTATATTTGCTTATTATACACTTTTGGATTTCGGTCAAGGAAGTAATCACTCTTTCTAGTTTTCACTGGAATTCACTGGGTGCTTTTGACAGAGAATGGATCCATTAATAGAGCGTTACGTAGTAGTGATAATCGTAACGTTATTACCCGGTTTCAGGGATCACGTTTTTACTCTTAGCGAATCCTCCTTTGTCGACGTGGGAAACGTCGCTCGCTGCACGCTGTCGCAAATCGTTTCTGCCTCGTTTAAGCCTCGTTTAAATACCCATACTGAGGGTCGCTTCGAGATCATCACGCCTGTTTATATGAACCCCAAGCCGCAGGGAATTAGCAACAATTGTCGTCTTTACTTAATTTCGTGCGTCCTTGTCATCTCGACCGAGAGATAACCACAGTTTCCAGAAATAGAAGGATTTGCGCTTTGATCTACGCACTCAGAGCATGGAATTTAAAAAAAAAATTGGCATTTGTAGCAAAATCCATTATTTAAGAAAGGAAAACTTAAAATCCCAATCAATTGATTGCAATTAAATTTTTATATTTTATAATAGTAGTTTCAAAACACCAGCTTCTTTACCCCGTGTCTCATCCCGTGTAAATATATACTATCTTTTTTTGTATATTATAATAAATATTATATATAAAATAAATGAAAAATATTATAAGAAAATTTGTTATTAATATATAACTTGCGTATTACTTAATGCGATTACAATTTAACAGTAGTAAAGGAATTGATCTTAGTTGATTCAATTCCAATATATTAATAATTATGATTATTCTGCTTTCTCCCGAATTAATTTGAATAATTGAGAATACAGATACGATATAATCGCCAGAATTATTACAAAATTATTCCTTAAATTGTGATTATAACAAGTATGCAATAGATTAATGGAATTGTTTTTCAGTAGCAAAACTGAACGTTACAAACATATTATCTATTAATGGATGACATCCTATACGTCGACTATACGTCGCATGCAAGAATATAAGAATGCGAGACGATCTCTGATAACAAATTGCTTACACAATCACTCAAAAGTGGTTAAAATTGTATGCGTCCTCTTGGCAAATGAGTAGTGCAGTAAGAGAAAAATAAGTTATTATTGTGACACAAATTTATATATATACACATATTTATATGTGTGTACGTACGTTTTTTAAACGATAAATTTTGGAAAGTAGAATCCAAGAATTATTAATAAAAATTAAAATTACACAGAGAAATTGCATTCATTCTTTATATACATTTATATATATATATTACTCTTAAAACCGATATTTATAATGGATTCTTAAACTATTTCGTTCTTAGGCTATATAACTTTTCGCTTACTTTTATTTTGTCGCAACTGCTTCCAACTGCGAGAAGGGAACGATGAGGATGTTGCAGAAAAAAATTTTCTTTACGTTTCACAGATTGCCCTCGCATGAAAAATCTATCTCTCTT